GCTTGCATTAAGGTCGTGTATCTCAACGGAACATAAAATTTACATATAACTTATTTGCGCCGGAGGTGCGTCAGCTCGTAAATCTCGCGACAAGGGGATTTCTGTTTGTGAAGTTTCTTTTTTATTTCCACTTTATCTGTGTAACGCAAAGGACTGCAAATACTCAGACTCAACTCGGGAACCCGCTCAACTTCAATAAATCAATTTGTACATTTACTCGTACTTATAATGTTCTTACCAAACGCAGTTCGGGACGTGTCGAGACCAACTCCACGCGAATATGGAATGTGTGAAGTATTTACTTTGTACGAAGAAAGTTTATGCACAACGCAATCAGCTCCATCCACGTGAATTTATTTATGTATGTAAATTTTCCTGTCATGTAATTTCAGCGGAATTAAAACGTGCCCCCGCCATTATCATATTAATCAGCGCTGGACTCAGTTGAAGGGCTCTAATGAGAAAAACTGCAACACCAAACGCGAATTATCGTTGCATGAAAATGTCATTTTCCACTTTGCGAGATTCAAACAACAATCATAACTATGTCATCCCTTTGCAAACACTTAAACGGGTTAGCCGCTTCGGCCACGACCGAAATAAAATGAGTGGACGGAACAGTTTGTCTGGCTCTACGTGTCCATTTTGCATCACAAAGCTAGATGTGTTTGTCGTTCTATTTTAAACGCGATAACGCCAACTTTCCAGTCCTCGAAATGTGAATACCTTGTTGCGAAAATGTGACTAACGGAAACTGTACAAGTAACTCGACTGTCCTTCCGCGACACACATTCGCTCGCTCTCGCGCGGCCCCCGTCTACCTACTGTGGACCGTGTGACCATTTATATTCAAATTTCTTATTATAACTACCCGCTTACTTTTCTTTTACATTTTGTGTGAATTTATTTGTAAGTTTCCCCGTAGCACATAAGTTTTTTCATATATCTAGTTTCCTGAAAACGGTTAATAGAACTTGGTGTTGCCGATTGCTACGAACTACATACATCATCAAGACATTCCAAAATCGCTTTTAAAGCATATTAATATTTTCAAGGGTGGTATCAAAATGACAATCAATAATTAAGTTTTTAAAAAAATAAAACCGACTTCAAATGCGTGAACACAAAAAAAAAACTAAAAATTAAAAATATTGCGTATAAAAAAGTTCATCCCCAATTTTCCACCCTTGGGGGTTGTTTTTTCTATTATTAAATTTAAATGGGACCACCCTTGAGGTATTATCTATACGCCGAAAAAAGATTTGTTCAAATCGGTTCATAATTGGCGGAGTTATCGCGTAACAAACATAGAAAAAAAAACATACGGGTCGAATTGAGAACCTCCTCCTTTTTTGAAGTCGGTTGAAAATATCAAAATATTGATAAGTAGAAACGGAATATAACGTGCCAAATACAGAGCAAAATACGTTTCTTCTAACATTTCCATCCCGTTTACTTATTCAGGTACTAAGTAAGGATTAAATTGCGCTATCTACCCGTAGCAGATCTAACATTTAGTTAGACCATAATCAAGCGTGGCCGATCGCGCCGGTGCCATAATTCGTGGTTGAACGGCGGTCTAGCACACCTTCGAATGCCGATGTAATGGACGCCACATTAATATTTAGCAGGACACTATTTTGGCACCAGTCTATTTTGACTACCCTATGTATTTTGACACCAGTATTTCAAAATTGTTTTTACGAGTAGTGAAAACTTACTTACACAAGGTTTGCATTACAATTTTAAAAGTCTTCACAATATGAGGCACTTGATTTTTTCAAGTTTGAAATTAGTGTTACGTAATCGGTAATTCATTGGTAAGTAATTGTATGCTCAATTTGTAGATCGTAATTATTTAAGTCAATTTTTATTCATTTAAATATTCATTTATTTAAGTCAATTTTTCCTTTCGGGTATAAAACTGATATTGCCAGGTAATACCTATCCGCTGGGACATAATAAAACATTGTCACCTTTTTTTCGCCAGCGTGTGTACAAAAACATATTAAATAAGTATCCATTAAGATTGTTCCAAATAATCCTTACCCTTGTGACATGCAATAAATAATTTGAATTTGAATAATACTTTTCTAATAAACGTACGTTTTTTGCGGAATATAGGTTATAATGTATTTAATTTAGTTAAAACAAATCCTACATTTAGAGATTAGCCATCCAGCCGTAATATGAGGAGACTTTGAGATGAATTTCATATTATTTTATTATAATAAATAAAGGTTCGGACAAACCAACGCGTGCAGCGATGGCGATGGCGATGGCGACCACTGCGCGTGCAAAAGTTGTTTCACACTGCCGCGACCGCGATGGCGATCACTGCGCGTGCAGGTTGTCACTGTCACGCATATTGTCAATCACGCCTATTCGGCAAAATGGAAACTGAATTAAATGATTTGTTTGGAGCTTTTGATGCAATTGAGACAGTGGAAACACGTTTTCACTCAAGTTTATTCAGGCGGCCATATATTATAGAATGAGACAGGATTACATGCGGTATAGGTAGTAGGTATTGGTTACTCATAACCAAGCTATATTTCTGGCTTCGTTTGTAGTCCCTAGAGCCCTAACAATACCTTTTAATTAGATTTAAAGAAAGGTTTGATAGGAAGGAGGACTGCACTATATAAGGCTTTCTTGGCCTCAGTGGGGGAAATGAAACACAACGCGGACGTTTGATATCTGGTTTATTACTGTTATGCTATTGCTATATACAAGATTTACATAATGTACACAATACAATGTGTCCAGTCCAATGTGCCGTCGGTGTAGAGTGCCTACGGTGCACGTTCGTTCAGGGTTCATGGGCCAGTCGGCTAGGATGTTGTAGGTCGCGGTCGGTGCTGACGTGCTCGTACAGTATCCTTGTGGGCAAGTAAGATTATAACCAATTCATCTTTTTCCTTGAGGGAAAAAAATTGCCTCCATTACCTTTTACCATTGTCGTTCTTATCGTTAAATCGCACAAAACTACACAGAACTTAACACAACAGCTATCAAAATCAATTTTCATTTTTGGTGCAACAGTCATCTTGACATTTACTTTTTTTAAGGGAAAGGAAAATTACATTATGCACCCAAACCACAGAGTACAGTATAATAGTCCAAATATCTTTTTTGTCTTCAATAATAACCCAAAAATACAAAAAGACATCAGTTTTGATCAACTAGGTGTTTCTAGTGGCACTAAATTAATGACTGAGACGTTTGATGACTTTAATTAGGTTTTTATTTATGGTATACTTAGAATAAATTGCTCCAGGGCCTTTGAGAAAGCTGCAGACATGTACATTCTCAATTATTTTGTTCTGCAGATATAATATCCCAATTTTATTTATGAAGTTGAAGAAGCAGGTTCTCGAGAAAACTAGAATAATTTGTTTATTTCCAAAAAATAAGTTCTGAAATTGATACTTTATTCTATATAAAACCTTTTTATTATTCAAGTAGGTCAGACTAGTGGTATGTTATGAATAATTCATTTTTAATTGTGTAAAAACTTTTTAACAGATCCTACTTACTATTTATTACATCGATTTTAAAAAACAGAAACGTCACAGTGACAAATGTCGCGATGATCGCTGATCGCTGCGTGCAGACGCTGCATAGATCGCCGCGACCAATGACAGGACGCGTTGATGTGAACACATCGCTACAAATTCATACACGCTGTCTGGTCGCCATCGCCATCGTCATCGTGCACGCCGGCTGCACGCGTTGGTCTGGTCTAACCTTAACTGTTTCTTTAATGCTTTTGATAATTCAGTCACATTAATATAACACGCTCATGACGTCATATTATAATATCTTCCTATTAGTTATGTGTAGAATCACTTTATTTAATAAATCATGAAATATTATCAATCGATCTATACCAATAATTATACGATACCTACAAAATATTAATTAATTTAACCCTATGGTTACCGATCTAACGGTTCGTCATAATATGCCCTTAATATGTACCTACTCTTAATGTGTACCTAAACACAAAGTTGAATCAAAACCAAATAATAAGACAGCTATTTAAAAAAACCTATTTCCTACTAAAAAGCAGGGTCGCCTACCATCTTAGGGTCAAACAGAATATAAAAAGCATTATAATGGTAGAGTACTGAAGAATAAAATTTAAATGCTTCAAAAACTTTCATCATTCTGTCACTGGTAACAAACTTTTCTACACTTAATTTATATGAAAATTTCTTTGGCTGTGACTCGACCGCGTAACTTATTTTTAAAATTTTAAGACACTTGTTTAAGGATGTAAAACTTTCGTGGTCTTCTTCTGAAAAAAGGTTTTCACACCCAAAAGAACGATAACGTCATGCGCTCGTATAAAATATGCCTGCATTTTAGTAACTTAAGCCACAGACTTTCAAAACACTGTATNGAATGACCCTTCAATAGGAATGAGTAAAAACAAAACTCGGCGGAGGCCCTAAGTGAAGTTACAGTTGAAAATTAATGAAGATTACAAAATTCACGGCCATTGAGTTCCTCGCTTCGTCGAACCTTTGACTCTAAGTCGCTTGTTAGACTAAATTGAGAGTAATAATAGGACTCATTTGTTTGGGTTAAAGGTTTCGAATTCGCCCGTCGGATATTATTCTCCGCAATCAAAACGTTTGCGGAACAATTGCATTCGAAGCGTTACAACGATTTCAATTAGGTCACTTATTTATTTTAGAACGATGAGGAAGAGTTAATTCATTTACTTTTTCTGTTTCTATATGTCTTTGTATTTATGAAAACCTGTAAATTTAATTTTGCACCCTAGCTTTCCGACATTTTAGCACAATTGCATAGTAAATATAAAGTCAAAGATATAAATCTATTTATTTTAATAAAACTATTCTTCAATGATTGTAACTACCTGTGTTGTGAAAAAGATAAAGATTTTTGTAGATAATTTAGATGAATAAAATTAAAAACTTATAGATTTTTTTTATAATGACGTTAATAATAATGAAATAAATACTCACTTTCGTCCTTTGTGGTCCGTATAAACGATATGGTTTCTCGCGGCCGGAGTCTGCCGGGTTCTTCCCAAGGATTGCGACTCCATCTTGCCGGTCTGACCAACTATGCCTCCATATAGCGCGGCTTGACCGTACTTAGGTTTCAGAGAGTCCAACTGTCTGCTGAGTGGCGGCCAAAATTATTCCCCATTTGCCCATCCGCGCTCAACTACTTCGGATAGCCGGCTTGTTAGTGCTCACTCCCCAACAATGTATACAGCCTCGACTTCTTAGCAGCGGGAAAGTTTTGCCCGCTGTGTTGATTTTGTTTGTTAACATTGTCCTGCTAGAGAGCGCCTCCCAAAAACCCTTTTGTGTCCATTCGTTTTAAACTTCAGTTACGTGGTTAGGTCTCAAGTTATAACTTCGGACGTAATGGGAGCGCGTTATTGTCTACTCATCTCGCTTTAATAATGCAATCTGCAAAAAATAATTTTTGATACGAATGTATATTTTTTTTACTAATGATACCTAATTATGTTGCCGTCAAGCGGCTGACTTTTAAGCTTCAAAAGATGACGATTAAGCCCCTCTAAATTGTTTAACATAAATATTTCAGGAGAGTGAGGTTACAATTAAACCGTTAACTTTTGTCGGTCTATTCGACATACGTGGCTCGTGTGAAGACATTAAAGTATGTTATAAGGCCTTGTTATTTTATATATTTATATAAATACATAGACACCTTAGCAACCATTAGATGTATGTTACTTGTATCTAACAAGGGCAAAAAGGTTTGTGTACCGGCAAGTACATAAGAGTGTTTACATAAGAATATATTTACTTTCGGTAGGCGGAGCTTGGATCGAGGCGGGCTTATTTGCCATCGACAAGGAGGTGGAGAGGTGCCAGTTGTTTATCAATGTTCGAACAGGCCACGTTAATATTTTATACTAAATCCATCTCAACAATAAATCTTAAGGGACAAGAAATGTATGGAATTTTAATAACAATTCTCAAGAAAGACGTCTTCGTTTACAAAAGAAAATTCGAATAACAAATCACGAGCAGTGGACTTGAATTATTTCAGTCAAATATTTAGCAATGTTTTCTCATTTCATAAATTATATTTTGCAAGACAGTGTACAAATGGGCTTTAATTAACTGGGGAATGCCGGCGAAACGGCAAATATGCCGGGATCGCCGTCGCCCTGCAGCCGCGCCACTCGCCCACGCTAACTACGATTTACATTCGCTCTTATTTATTTACAAGATTGAGCAACACAATTTAATTTCATTTGCCAACAAGCCTGAATTTATCACAAGTGGCTCTTGTTATTAAAAATATGTCAGTTGTATAACTGCTTCTATCAAATTCATTAAAACACTTAGGCACATGGACGTTAAAAGCCTTTTATTTAAAAATAATAAAAAAATGTCTTGTATACTTACGTTTTAATTTTAATAAGAATGCTATTTTACTTTACTTTTAAATAAACCACATACCAAATAGTTTTCATTTTGTTTTATATTTAATTAAGACTTCAACAGTAACCTACATTAGCTACATTGTGTATTCAACACAATTCATAAAACTGGCACTACAAAGTTTCTACGGAAACGACTACAACGCTACGAGAGTTGCTACGAAATAAGTTGAACCGCGCGTCGCGCCCGGAGCACCAGAGACGTTCGCCTGCCAGCGAGGCTCGGAACCGACTGCGAACTTTACTCTTTGCTCCTGAATCGTCCTGTACGACACGCCATACACCAGCAAATATCAACCATATGCCTATAGATATTAAGTCCTATTTTCTTTAAATCCCATACAGATTCAGCTACGTGAGACGGAGTGAGAATTCTGAGAATACGTTACGAAAATCTAATTCTTCCTACGCGAACATAATGACGGATTTACAACTGAGGATGACGAGGACCTCAAAATTTTCGTAAAGTGACGAACTGTATATCGAGAGGCTCGTATTTTTAAGATGTGAGGGTTCAAATTTGAGGTAAGGTTCCTCGAGGGAGGCGGTCGTAAGGCTTAGGGGTGGCGCGTAGGACAGACGCATGCGTACATCTCCTGAATTATTTCACAAACTCCTGAACTAGTCTGATGTTGAACTGATTAGCGTCAGGGATTTATCAGAATATAAATTTTGAGGAAACAGGTGAAGCTTATTCATGAAATTTTGAGTCTATCCCTAAGATAATCTTACAATTTAAAACCCTCACACGTAGGTAACATTCTTACCACTAAGCTATTTCTACTGTAGATAATTAAATATCAAGTTCAAAAAAAACTTGAATGAAGACACATTGTAAAAATATTTTTTATTTACGAAAAGTTATTTTTAAGCATTTTCCAAAACTTCAATGTTATCTCTAATTATTATAAGAAAAGAGTATTGACAGATAATAAAAATCATCAAAAGTAAACTGTTGATAAAAAGTCAAAGAAAGTAAATGATAAAACTTTTATGGTAGAGAAACTTACTAATACTTAAAAAATATAATAATATACTAACACAAACTGGCCAGGCAACATTTATTTTGCATTCTGAAAGTTAATTTCTAAATCAATTAAATTCCATGTTTTATAATTGGTTGAAAAGCTCTCCAGAGCATATTTATTTTGCACTGTGTGCTTGACAAGTATCACGATTTTGTGCCAATAAAGGTTGCGGCCATCGATAATTATGTTTTAGCGACACGCAAACACGCGCCGCAAACCATAGAATATTGTGCACACACTCGGCATTTCAAATAGTGCTATTATACCCCAGCAGTATGAAATTCAATTTGTCAAAAACACAATTATGGTCAGGACTAAACAAATCTAATGCACAGGAATTAATCCAATAGTCAAACAGGCATCAGTTTAAAACTATATAATAATAAATATTTTTTGATTTGATTTTTTGATACGATTTTAATTATTTACATACATTTTTAATTAATAATATTTTAAACAGACATTAAGTAAGGTATTTCAATTTGTTATGCAAACTCCTGATTATGCTTTAAAGATGTATTTAATCAGACCAATGAAGTCAAACAAATATCTATCAAATATTTCACATTACCATACAAATTATAAAATGACTCTATTATTATGAGTCTGCACTCAAGAATAGATACAAGTCTGTGATTGGTCTGAGTATTTATATCTGGCTCTATGGTATAAATCTAGTTTTGAGTATCAATCCAAATTAGAAAGTGAGAACATTACCAGAAAACATTTAAATAATATTACTAATTAATAGGCCTACAAATCGATTCCAATGGTCTCTTTTCGATTGAAAATCGAATAATAAGATTATAGAGCTGGGCATAGAACGAAGGCCGCGCCCGTCAAGGATCGGCGTTTACACGACGTTGTAACTCTCAATATGAGCTTTGTTACCGCTTTGTGCGGCGTTTCTTGTGTCACTGCATTGAATATATCGGGTGCTTTCCTTTGTGCACGGAATATTGCTCGTCTTTTGTCGAAATGAACGTTACCTCCCCGCGAGTTGTTTCTGGAAAGAATTTCGCGATTGCAAAGTAATATTTCCCCTTAAGAATTTCGATGTGTTTCTTTCATCTCGAAGATGACTTTACTTCGTATCATATTGTGTCGCGAATCGTTAGCCAGACCTCGGTCCTGATTCTTGTAATAATGGTTCTTTTATAAGGCTCCGTAATCCTGTTTTAATTTCGGTGCGAAAATCTTTTATTATTTAATCCATTTCTAAAAGATCTTTGAAAGGATTATTGGCAAATTAGTTCTAACAAATACATTTACAGAATAAATCCTTTGTCGTAGTAATTGCATTGGCTTGCCGTTTCAAGTCCAATAGTCTTCTGGCCACTAATTAGGGTCGGATTAGCGACTCGCCGGTGAGATCGCCCGTGTAATATACTCGGGAGATTGCTTGTTAATTATTTCAAAGTTAATTCCGACACGGTAACCCAGGAACTAATTACAGGAAGTATTTGGAAAAACGCACTATCGCTTCTCTAATTGCTTACTCAATTTCGGAAATTCGAAAGGGTTTGTTCAAGGTAATAAAAATCAGACCCTTAAAGTTTAGATGGAATGATGTGATTTTCTATTGATTAGTAATAAGAATAATTAGATAAATTAATCATGCATCATATTAGGGGAGAGTTCGGTATATTGTACCGCCGGGTAAATTGTACCACCCTCATATTTCGTAAAGTATTTATTGAATGTCTGTAATTGCAACACTCAGCGATACACAACTAAATTCAATTAATATCGGCCATATGATTTTTGCCGTGACAACTAACACTTGTGTTTTTTTTAAAGTATTTTTTCATTGTTTTCAAGTAACTTTTGAAAATGCATGTTTAGTTTGTAATTTTGTTAAATTTAATCACAGGGTGTTTCTAATATATTATTTAGAAGCGTAAATTAGTGTGGATTACAATTATTTGAAACATTTTTCGGTATTTATAAGCTTTATTTTTTACCGATTTTTTAAAAGCACTATCACCTAGTCGGCTAAATTGTACCACATCAAGTTGTATGGAACTTTACCAAAGGGTCTTGAATTTTTTTTTAGTTAATCATATTTTGAAGTTATAATAGCGTAGTTATGTTTGACTAACAATAAATGAAAGCAAAAGACTGGCAAAGTAGATTAGGTACAAGTGTGCGTTACGATAATTGGAATTACAAAACTTTTACTCAAAATCGTGATAACGTGTAAAACAATATCGATTGTCTATGTTATTAACTACTGTTCCTTTTCGTTACCTAATTTGTGAAGAATGTATCGTATAATATTTTGCCATAGTTTTTTTATAGGCTTGAAATTTATTGAAATCCAATTTAGTAACCCTGTGGTACAAATTATCGAACCGGTTGGCTAAATTGGACCGATGCTCTGAACTCGCATTTTGTTGATTTGTGCTAAATATACAACAATCATGTTGATTAATACCTATGAAATAGTAAGTTGAATAATTTATCTTTTAGTATATACCATGAACATTAGCAAAAACAAAAGAAAACTATGTGTAAAATGGGATTGAAAAAAACTGGTCCAAATTACCGGACTCTCCCTTATATTCACTGTAACATAATAAACATTTAAAATCATACAGCTATACTGTACCTATCGTACCGTAAACTTATCAAATTATATTATTTTATTTAAATATTTCATTTTCACAAGCTACATGAAATACTGAAATGATTTCTGCATTAGCTAACCCAGCCAACACAGTGTAGCTACAACAAAACTCGATCAGATATTTTGTCTGTAATTATGAATTCGCGGTACAATCCGGCGGCAGACAGAACAACGTGATAAA